ATGTTATTCGGTAATTTTATGTATCCTACACTTTTATGTTATTCATTTACAGTCTAACTCGATATAGTTTCTAAATAGCGCCAACCGCGTAAATCGACATGAAAAGGATCTTTTCCATAATATTAAATATTGAATAGAGATTATAAGGATTACGGATAATATTGTGTAATAATATTGATCCTTAAATATTGAACCCTTCAGTAGCTGTGAAGTTCGTGGTGTAAATGACACTGTTATCACCAAATCACTCGGCCCATCACTAGTCGAGTGGTAACACCTAAATAGGGACCAGTTTCCTATAGAAAGTCCTCCCGGGAGCGTCACCCTCGGCAGATCGCCCAAGTGTCGCATTGCAGTAAACAAATAAAACAAATATAGGACCTTGCGCTCTTACAGACCTCAGATAATGCATAAATGTTTGCAAAGTCGGATTTGTACATAAAGTAAGCAACATATAACGCAGAGCCTCGCGATAGCAGGCGAGAGTTTAGGATTTCACGCTTTTAAATTTATTATTATTCGTTAGAGGAGGAATAGTTTCTTATACTTTATAGATTAGGATAACAACAGGCTTAATTTGATGTTAGTTAATTATTCAGAATCCGAATTAATTAGTATTGTAGACTTTGGACAATTCTGTTATGGCCCCAAGCTTTAAGAAACCCTCCTCCCCATCAAATAATAATAAATTTAAAAGCATGAGATCTTGCATGAGACTGTATCGTCCTTTAACTGTAGATTATAATGTTATGACACGACTTTTACATTATGCAATTTTAAACAAATAAAGGACATTCATAAGTCACTGCTTGCCCAGAACCTCCTGTAATCTTTTATATTAGAATTTATATAAAATTCACGTTTTTAATTAACAAAATTCTTGAAAAAAAAAGGAATTTTAAACGATCTTCGAAACTTTTAAACTAGAGTAAAAAATAAACTTTAAGAAATTTTTCGACTTTTATTTATGCCTCTATGATATAAATTTAATTGTTAAATTAATTAAAATATAATTTAAAAAATTAAGTAAACAGAATCAACAAAATTTAGAAAAAGAAATTAATTACTTTGAGTAAACTTCATTTAATTTTCGACAAATTATTGAGATTTATGCAGTAATTTCTGCAGAATATTCCAGCACTAAATTTTCTCAAAAAGATTTTTTACTTTTACAATCAACATCTAATTAAACACCAAATACAACAGATACCGGACACCTCTCTTTTACGATCTAATTGGTTTATTCAAACTGTCGTAAAGCGAGCTACAATTTTGACATAAGTTCAGCGTCATAGATTGAGATTATGTTCTTGAAAATAAACAATTTTAATTGGGAAATAGCACGCGGATGGTCAACGAGACATGTTGAATTTTATATAATCTTAATAGAAAATTAACACGCATCGTAAAAGCAGGTTTCTAGAGCGAAAGGTCGTACAGCGAGGTTTGTAAAGAAATATGTCGTAAAGCGGAGTGTATTGATCTAAATATAAATTTAAGCATTAAAATGATTCTGAATTTCTCTACCAATTAAATTTAATCACTTATTTAGTTATTTTTAAATATAAATTTAATATTTTATAAAATAACTTTTAACAATGTTTTTAGCATATTATTATATCATAAAAGAATTTAATTCTTAAGATTATATGCAGATTATTCAATAAATATTTTTGATTATTTAAGAACTAAAATAGCACATTCAGCTTAAATGATTGTTAAGTAATTATTTTAAAAATTAAATCTGAATAAAAATACTTGATCAATATTTTAAAATAAAACATTTTACACATAAAAAAAAGTTAATAGTTATATTTTGTAAGAAGTGTATAATTTTAATATTTTTTTTATATTAAATAATAATAAAGGAGGAAAAATTATTGAGAAAAGCAAATTTGGTGTAAGAAGGTTTTCTATTAACACTCTCGCAACGTTATTATAACTGTTTTTCGAGGAAAAATAAAAAAAATGCTAACTTATAAGTGGAAAATTAAAACAAAAATAAAAATAGAAGTAAAAAATTTTTTAAAAAATTAAAAAATGCTTTGTGTAAAAATTATTAAAAAATAAAAAATCGAAGTAAAGAATGAAAATAATGAAAAAATGGAATAAAAAATTGGAAAAAGGAAAAGATTAAAAAATTTAATCGGACTTCATCAAAAATAATCAATACCACGGCATTATATAAGAAGAAAATCTTCAGAATATTGGATCCAATTGATTCCTGATGAATAGTATTATGTTCATTATAAAGCGCGTTAATGCTAGATACTGTTATTATACAAAAAAAATTACTTCTCACTTTAAATTTTCTTAACATTTTCTTGGAAGAAATTTTACACTTTACTAATTTTAGTGTATAAATATCAATTTATATCTTTGTACAACATGATAATTCGTAAGTAGACTAGTTATGAATTACCAAGTAATTAAATATTCATTTACGAAGCAAATTGTTAAAATATATATGTATATAAAGCAGTTCATATAATCTTGTTTTCTCTGTTTAAAACTGTTTTTAAAATAATAGAAAGAAGTAATGGTAGGCCTGATCCTTCTTTAAATATACGAGGGTCGTTTATTCACTGGAAAATTTTATTTTTGAGGTATTTAAAATATTATTATGATATAAAGAGTTTAATATTCACATTTCTTACACCGTTGTGTATTGTTTAATCTTATACAGTATTATTATATATAATCGAATAAGTAATTATATAAATTGCAAAAGAAATCGATATGATGCTCTTTCATCTTCATTTCTTCAGTTTCCTAATACCTTTAATATAATACCTTTAATATAAGTAAATGAAATCACCCTTTTCCTGTCTCCATTACTTTGCCTGTGTATGAAGAAAAATATAAAGTAGATAATCCGTTTAGCTTTAACGATTTATGGATGGCGTCAGAGCGACTGTACAAACATGGCGCCGAGACTCCATTTCATTCCATTACTTTAGTTTATTCTATTTTTTTTTTTTTTGATTCCTTCATTTTAAATTTTATGATCAAAGTTTTAAAATTTACGTATTTAAAAGTAGTGAAGGTTTCATTACTGAAAGTTTGAAACTTCGAGTAAAACGGGGGGAAGCTGAAACTCATTAGCTAATTATAAGTACTGTACACAAAAGAAATTTTTAAATTTTAAATGTTTTATAAGATAAATATTTTTTAAAGGATAATATTTTTATCGATTGATAGAAAATTTTATCAATTATAATGTATTTCGTTCGCTATTCACGCATACACCATAGTCGATACCCACCAAAATTATTGCTTAAACAGAAGCTTGTATCTGTCCTTAAAAAACTAATCAATAAAATAATTATTATTATTTAAATTTAAAACAGAATTAAGAATATTCAATTAGGAATTTGTCGAATGTAATGTCCCATCGATGTCCGAATGGATAAAACCACTGGACACTGAGAATCAGTCGCGGGTTCGCGGGTTGCTCTCGTGGAGTTTCCCAAAAGAAGATGAGGAAACATTCCACTGAATTTTGTGTGTTTTCATCCTGTTATTTACAACACGATTATAAAATCTGAATTTAAATTATGCGAAACAAGTTTTCGATTCTTAAAACTATTGCTAGTTTAATTAAGAGTTTAAAAAAATCACTCGTTTTACGATCGTATGAAGTCGAACTCCAAGGAATTAATGAGTTGTATTCAAGACCATAAATTTTCGGTTGAATAGAAGCTTCATAAAAGAGCATTTTAGAAAGGCGTGGAATTTCGGTTTACTGGATCCAACGTAATCAACATACTCATATTTGGCAAGCAATTGTATTAAAATCGATTGATGTAACTTACATAAAAATCTCGAGAGATTTTTAAAATTAAGTTTAGTAATTATAACGTAATCTGTATATTTTATTATTAAACAAAATTCACGTAGCATTATTACAAATGACAACGTTTTGAAGCGTATTTTAAGCTTAATCCAGAGAGAAAATTAACTTAAAATATACATAATTTGTAGACGGACATAAAAGTTTATTTGACGCTTTCTTAATACGTTCTTCTCATACGAAGGAACATCAACACTAACGAATCAACCTTTGTAAAATCTTCTCGCCCTTTTGCGCGTCTTTTAAGTACATTTTCGTCCTAGATTTTTATTTTTATATAACTTTTGCAAGATTCTAACACCAGAAGGACTTTTTAAAGCAATTTCACATACATGTAGGCGGAGAAAAGCATATAAAGATTGACTACACTACTGTTTAATTGCGTTTGTGTCTTTATACTTGTATACGTCTCCTTTGCTAATAATTAATTTATTTCTACTACTGTTCAATTGTTTCTGTGATTTTTACGTGTTCTTCTTCCACTGTTTAATCGTGTTTCTGTATCCTTTTATATATGTTCACAAGAACACAATTAAACACTAGTGTAATTATTTTCATGTTCGTCTCAAATTGTGTATAATTTAAATATTTCAGCTTTCACAATATTAAAAAAAGGGAACTAATTAGTGTGAAACTTTATAATTGCGTTCCTATGTAATTATTTCGACTTTTATCGACATTTTATTAATTACTCCACTTCTCTAATTTTAAATTAGCTGAATGCTTTATTTATTATCCAGGGGATTATAGTTAAATAGCGTTCATTTTACAAAATGAGAAAAATATTTACATATTTCATTTCTAGAAGCGTTAATTTCTAATGAAATTTTGGAAAAAATAATCATTAAAATCAAACTGAATCAATTGATAAATAAGTAAATTCCAACATAATTCAAATGCGTGATTAATTTCATTTTGAGTTATATAAATGGACTTTAATGAGGCATACAAATTCCTCTTAAAAATTCCATCCTTCTTCATCATTTGAAGCTACTTTTTCGATAATTTTTTTTATTAAAGACTTAAAATACCTCTTGGAACTTATTCGTATGAGAAATATAAATATTTAAATTAAAATCAATTATCAAAGTCGAATTTGCACGTAAACTACAGTTTAAGTACTCACGCTACGAAGATCCTTGCTTCATCCTTAAAAAGAAAAATATAATAGTCTATGTATTGTCCATTACTATTAAGTGGAAAGGCCTATTATCTATTACAGTTTAGGACGACAACATTACTAAAATGTTTTTTGTTATTCTATGGAAGGTCCTCATATATTATAATAACTTATATAAGAGACCCTTCTACAAAATAACGATGGATAGTACATATTAATTTCTTTAGGTCCCTAAAGAGTCTAAATTAGGCCCGGTTATTATTTAATCGTCTTACGAATTTTGCTTTGTTTTGTGTTTAAGTTCGATTATAAAATTGACGAAACGAAATGCATGTGCAATGCCACGAAAAATCGAGATATATGACATCACTATACTAGATATTATGGGCAATTTATGAGACTTACCTGAAATCTTTTTCCATATAAAGAGAATAGACACTTTGACTATCCACATCGTGCTTATTTTGATTATGGATAATTTCAACCGAATCTGTAGATTGGTCTGTGGTTCCTCCGATTTTTGACGATTCTGTAGTTGGACTTGCAACAGCAGTTTCGGTTTCCTCGTCTAATTTGTTCTCTTCGGGAAGGTGAAGTGGCTTGGATGCTGGCAGGGGTGGAGAGCAAGGATAATCGGTTAAGCTGGCAGATAATGAACTCTTGGCACTGTCGTCTATGTAACGTATGTCTTTTAGTTTTGATTCTAGATTTGTTTCCGTTTCTTTGGGTTGGCAGTGAGGATTGAAAGTGACAGTGGTTCGACCGCCGAGTTTTTCCGAAGCGGTGCGCCTCGATGGCAATACGAATTGCAAACAGGTGGGTTCGACGCACGAGTCGGATTTCGGGCGATCCTTCCTGGATAGATAAGGTAAACCTGACACACTCGGAGTGGACGAAGAGGGCCAACTGTCGAGTGATGTCCGGCTGCCTGACGTGTACTTTTCTTCAATATGGCGAATTGCTTCAGCAGTGACGGCTTCCCAACCGTCTAGGTATGGATCGGATGCGTCACGTTCCATTTGGCACATGACGTATTCAAGATAAGGCCGCGCGTAAGGCGGCATCGGGGATTTAATTAGGCGGCATCGGGGCCGCGCGTGGGGGGAATGGATGAGTGAATGGAATTCTCATGTTCCGCTTAACAAAGCAACGACGACGAGACGCTAATCGTTCCATGTCACACTGTAAAAGGCCTCGTGGTCACTGGCACCCTGCAATAAGAAAAGATGGACACTTGTTGAGTACAGCATAAAGCGGTTTCCTAGGTAACAAGACTGGATGAGTTGTCATGGTAACGGTCATGCCAGAGGTGACAAACAACACTGGCGTCACTGTGGGGCAATAATAATCTCATCTCTTTACCCTTTTTAATATTCTCGTATGAACTTTTAATATATTAATGAAGATTACGAAACTATTCATTACGTAAATACGCTAATAAAAAATAAATTTATTGCTATTATCTTAAAAGTTACCATATGTTTACTTCAAATTATGCTTAAAATGCATCTTTCAAACTTTTTAATTAATATTTTGAAAAACAAAAATAATCTAGAATTAAAGAAGAATAGGTAAAAAATTAAGAATACTTTTTTATTTCTCTTAAAACAGGATAACAAGTATGCATAATCAGTCATATTTTTACTTATAAAATGTAACCCAAAAGTCAGTGAACCGAGATGTTAAAATATTTTATAACTCGGTTAACTAACTTTTGAACCATTCTGTATATGTAATACAAATAACTGATTATGTATAAATTGTATAAGTGTACAATCTATGCATGTATGTATTAAATATAATTATTCAAATCATAAAAAATTATTAAAATTTTCTTTAAAGAAGAAAAAAATAAAGATAATTAAAAACTTCTCATTAATTTCTTCAACTGTTTGACGAGGAAGAATGACTTCTATTAAAATTATAAATATTCAAAAAATGTTTGGAACTCGAAGTTATTTGAAGAAGAAAAAAAATCAATTGAAATAAGTAAAAGAGAGTTGGATCCTAAAGGTCAAACGAGTCGAATTTCATAAGAAAACTCTTCAGGGACAAATTCTTATTCGTAGTTTTTTAATTTTCTTATTTTTCCTTAATACATATGCATATAATTAATAGTTTTTTTGGCATATAAAAGGTGGCACAAAAGTCAGTTAACCGAAATGTTTAAATTTATTAACTCGGTTAACTGAATTTTGGCCTACCTTGTATACATATATAAGTTACGTTTTTTACATATAAAGTGTAGCCCAAAAGTCTATTAATCGAGACAAGAGAATAAATAATACATGTAAATTTGTAAAATAATAATATATGTTAGTTAATTCGGTTAACTGACGTATTATTTTACAAATTTAATTTGTTTTCGGGAATAAAAATAATTGTTTTTTTTTTCTTTTAAATTAATATTAAAATATAAATATTTTTAAAAATTTCAAATAAAATAATAACAAAGAGATTTAAAATATATTATTAACATTTATATAGATTTACACTCGAAAGAAATTATGCAAAATACGATGAATAATTTTAAAATATGGATATAAAATAATTAAATTGCGCTAAATAAAGGTAATTAAATATGAAGTAGTAAAAAGTTACATTTTGTTAACTTATTATTTAATTATTATTTTTAGTTTTTAATAAACAAATACACCAAATGTTCGTAATTAAAGTGCCTCTATTCAAGGATATTTATACAGATATTTGCAGTCTAAATGGAACCAAATTTGGCGTGGTGACATTTTAACATACGCGGAAGACATTTCCAAAAAGAAAAAACTTTGTACTAAAACTCGCCACTTTTGGCGTTTTGCATCTTATTCCGTGTGATTTTGGTTGTGGGGACACTTAAAAAGCGTTGTTTATGGAAGAGACGTTTCCAAACTTGGTAGGTTTTAAAGACAGTATCACCCTGCACGTGAGAAGCATCGAAGAAGATTAAGTAAACACGCCCATTCACTACCCTCAGAATGGGGATGAGTAGTATTCCTTGAATTGCTGTATAGTGCGTATGCATTGCATGCCCGAGGCAAGTTTTAGGATGGAACGAGATCCTATTATGGCGCCCCCCTTGGTTGCCCCTAATTTTTATACCCTTTAATTTTCTTTACCACTGAGGCGCCCCCTAGGACTTAGCGGCTGGAGCGGCTGCTCCGTTCGCTCTATGGTAGGGCCCGCTCTGTGCGTATGTCTTGTATAAATAAAATTTTCGTTGCTTACAATGCCAAAAGTGCCACAGTGCCGAGTTTTGACACTAATTTTTTATTTATGGAAATGTCTTCTTCACGTGCTGAAAGATAACAGATTTGGTTTCATTTTGACTTCCAAACGTTACTCTACACAGTTTTGAATAGGTGCATTTTAATTCTTTTAATCTCTTTCCATCCTGTGGACACTATGGGAGCCTTTATAGTAAACCAAGCCCATTAAGGGTGCGGCCAGGCCCACCATGTCGCTGCCAGGTAATGAGGGAAAGAGCCAATCACCCGGTATCAACTTTAAAAAAATTTAAATAGTGTACGACATTGTAATTATAAAATTAATTAAATTGTAATAAAAATATTAATGAATATTATTTTTATTATATTATTTTAAAATCGGGTTAAAATTACGATGACATAAATTTGTTATAAAATATCAAAATTGAAAAATTGATTTTATTAACTTAATATTTAATGTATGCATGTTTTTAACTTTAAAATACATTTGAAATTTTAAAAAGCAGTTAAAATAAGTTATTAAATTATAATCATTTTATTAATTTAATAGACTAAAAACATTGATATATAAATTATTTAATTATTATAAATGTGCATTCAACATTTATATCAAATTTATTAATATTTATAACTATTCAAATTTTATTATCGAAATTCGAATTTATTTTCATTTTTAATTAACTTAAAATGAAATTATAATTTGATAAACGTTGCCATGACATCCCATTATAATTATTACATGATTACTAAATTTACAAGGTAACTTTTTATTCAATTTGTTTAATGGAATACTTAAAATTTATTAAAGTATTTTCCTTTGTTTTTAATTGTTTGCTGTTTTCGAGATATTTTATTTGTTCATTTAATAAATAATAAATATAATAATTAAATATTAATCAATAAAATGTAATATTTAAAATATTTTTAAATCTTGAATTAGTGTCTTAATATTATATTTGAACTTATTATTATTACAATTTTTGTAATAACTCAGGATGTATTTCTTCATAATTCGAAGTTTAGACTATTTACAAAAAGTCAAAATAACTTTTGAGTCTATCTTTATCCTTTTTAACACTACCACAGAAGTAACAGTCTTAAAAAATTTGCTTTGAAGAACTCTTCTTAAAACATAGGTAAAATTGGTAAAAAAAACTTCACAAGGTTAAAAAAGATCAAGTGTCAGCCTTTCTTTGTAGGTTTCTGACACTTTTAAAATTAAAAACACAATTAAAATTAAAATTAAAATTTTTTTAATTTTAAAATTAAAAAAATTGTGTTTTTACTTTTAAAAGTGTCAGAAACCTACAAAGAAAGGCTGACACTTGATCTTTTTTAACCTTGTGAAGTTTTTTTTACCAATTTTACCTATGTTTTAAGAAGAGTTCTTCAAAGCAAATTTTTTAAGACTGTTACTTCTGTGGTAGTGTTAAAAAGGATAAAGATAGACTCAAAAGTTATTTTGACTTTTTGTAAATAGTCTAAACTTCGAATTATGAAATTATTATTATTATTATAAATCAGATGAGCAGAAAATCAATAAAATAATGTTTCTACGAACTTTTTACATGATAAACAGTTTAAATTTAATAATTCGATTGGCGGATGGACAAGCTAGTTAAGGGATCAACTTTAAGGGATGAACTGTGGAACCCGAGATCTAACTCTGGAGAGAAACTTAGGAATTATATAGGGTAGGCCTATGTCCCTCTCGTCACCCAGTCACCCTAATTGTGGGCGCCCACTAATGGTACTAAACACTATCACCAACAGGTTGGGTACATGCAGTCTTCTAAATTTTCTTCACGTATCTAACATTTAAATGGGGAGACCAGTTTTACAAAGAAAATCCTCCCTGGAGGCGCCCTTCCTTGGCAGATAACCTATGTGCTGCGTTGCCCACATTCCATCAAGCCAATCTAATCTTCCATTATGGGTCTGGCCAACGGTGGGTATAGAAAAAAAGCGCTTTTAGTGTCCACTGAGCGGAAGCGTTAAAAATGAAAAAGAAATCAAATAATTCGAATATTAGTAATTGAATGTATTTAATTTAATTTATTTCAATGAAAAATACAAACTTAGAAATGAAAAATTATTATAATTGTATAGCAGGCACTACATAATTACAGTATAGTATAGTTATAATACACTACATTACACAATATAGTAAACTAGTTGCATGAGCACGGCGTTGCTCGGATTTTTGTGGATTGGTGAGATTGAGTTGGGAAAGAGTGTAAAAACAATGGTCTTCCAAGTTAGCAACTAAAATGTACATTTATGACCTCAATATTTACAATAATGAAACTGTAAATCACAAATAAATTGTTCGGGCTAACCGAGATCATGTTTGTCCCGTAAACTTAATATTGTACCTTTTCCCCTTTGCCATGCCCGAACTACTGCACGTTTCTCAAATATCTCTTCAGAGGCACCATCTACAGGATAAAAGCTTTAATTTGATACCTAAACCGTATTTTTAGCCCCAGCCGTTTACTCAAACTAAGTCGTACAAATTGAAAACCCTCTTTCAATTAATATATATATATATATATATATATATTAATACAGTATATATACAGTAGTGTGTATATATATATATATATACA